TTAATGATATTATAACACTATACTAATATTAGATACTAATCAATTGCAAATACAGCACATTAAAATGTTTTTTTAACAAATTTGTTTACACAGGAGGTTTGAGCTTGGCATGGACACTGTTATTAAGTTACCATACTCTACCTTTTAAGGAAACAGCAGCTTCTATTAAATCAACTACTAATTACACTTTGCCTTGGCTGAAGCTTTTAAGAAAGCCTCCATTCTGGTAATCATTGTGCATAGGATCAATTTGAATTCAATTATCATAACTTACACAATTTCTGACACAAATCTTAGTATAAAAAGTATATAAAGTTATATAGATCTGTAAAAATATTATGATTATAGATTTGTACTTGCGTAAGTTTTGTGTATAAATTATTATTTTCAGGTCATGTGTAATAGGCCATGCTTGCCAAAATAATTGCTTTTTTGTATTATTATCCTGGATGCCAACATATTTTCATGATACATTTCCTGAAGTAAAGGTAATAATTATGTGTATATATCATATGTTGCATATCATTTATATATTATTTTAAAAATTTTTATTACTTATGTTTAGGGCTGGGTTGTAAATATGGTACCATGGTTATCTATGTTACCTTGCACATTTTTGGGTAAAGCCCTTTCTGAGAAAATAATAAAAGCAGGGTATTCTGTTACAGTGACACGTAAAATAATTGAAACAATATGTTTTCTAACTGAAATCATAAGTTTATTATTTCTAGGTATGTATTTGTCAGTATTAAAAAATAAATAATAAACATAAATTTAATAATTATTTCAGCAAAAGTGGAAACTTTTCAAAGTTCAATAATCTGTCTTGCATTTATAATTGGTGGATCAGGTTTTCATAATAATGCAATTGCAGTTAATCCTTCAGATCTTGCACCAAAACATTCAGGAAGTGTATTTGGATTAATGAACACTGTTGGTGCCATACCTGGTATGCAAAATCACAAATATTCCTTTTATGTACTAGGAAAAGTAATAGTAATATTTTTTTTAGGATTTCTTGGAGTATATTTTTCTGGATACATTTTACATGTGACACACAGCTGGCCTGTTGTATTTATATTTATAGCTATAATAGATACATTAGGATGTATAATATATTTATTATTTGGTTCTGCTCAAGCAATTATATAAATGTCAATTAGTTACATTTATTTTCTCAGTTTACTGTAAATAAATTCTACCTTTACAACTAACCATAAAGTGTTATGTACACAAGATATTAATAACACTAATTATATCATGTTAATATTGTGAGAAATTTCAACAATATTGAGAATATCATTCTGTTCAAATTTGATTAACTTATATTTGCTT